AGAAGTACAGCTCCTGGTATTTACAGATACTTTTAGAAGTCTCAAATCTCCTCATTTTCAAATGGTGTTTGATGCTGGCTGCCAGGAACATTGAGTTTTTCTGTAACAGGCGTTGTAATTGTGGCTGCTCAAGAAGGGGAAAGTTCTCTGGAGCTTGGAAAGAAGTGCTTGGTAATGGTGCTGTTGATGTTGCGAAGAGTTTCTGCCAGGGCATGGTCCTGTGCACCAAGGCCCCTGTCCAGAGGCAGCATCAATGAGAGCTGGGTGATAGGGAAGCAGAGGGGACAGCACCAGTGAGTCCTATTATAAGGGTTGCTTAAATAATCAAGTATTTCCTAATAAAAGATAACTTTTTCCATGCTATTTCCAGGGCTCATAAGCAGAGGAAGTGGAGAGAATCGATTCTGCTGTTGCATGCTTGTGTGTGATCAGGCCACAAAATTCAAAACACATGAGTTTGCCCAGAGTCCCCAACTTCAGCCTTTTGCAATGGGTTCCTTTCCCCCCCCCATTCTTGCCTGTGATCAGATAATGACCTTTGTGAGCAAACCAGCCCCAGCTGTATTTCATAATGGGAATATACTTCTGTACAGTGTAATGAGCTGTTAACAGGCAACAGCATCGTGTGAAAATCTGCACGTCCCCCATGATACTGCCCTCATTTAAAAGCCACCCATAAATTACTCAGTGTTGCAGATTTCAAGGTCAGGATTGCCCATAAGAGCTAAGGGTTTTTGCCCCCAAACCCAATGTTTTCAGCAGGATGGAATTTAAAACAGAAAAACCTGACCTGTCAGGAGCCAGTGGGGTCTGTGTCAGGTACCTGGAAGCATGTGGCCAGAGCAGGCGGCTCGTGTGAAGCAAGGGAAATAACACCTTTGCTCCTCTCAAACTCCTTCTTGCCATGGCTCTTGAAGAAAGGCATCCCAAATGTTGTGCACAGTCGTTCTGGTGAGTTTGGTTGAGTTTTGAGGGGTTTCTAACAGAGCCAGGGACTGGGTTTTATGGCTGGCTTGAGTTCCCCACTCAGCCTCGCAGCCCAACTCAGCATCCCTTCAAGATGCCAAACAGCACATGGACCCACGCCGCGGGTCCAGGGGAGTTTCTGCACTAAGGCACTTTTTCTGCTGGATGGGAATATTTGATTATTAAGCATATTGACTATTATTTTAGCTTCAAGTTCAGTCTCCAGCCTCTCCAGCTTTTTAGGTTTGATCGTATTCCAGGGGCTTACTAAAAACATGCGAGGAATTTCAGCAAAACCCGATGGAACACTTCTTGTTAAATTCTTTCAGTCAGGCAAGCTAAATTAAATGACAGCTCTGTCCACCAAAAGATTACAAATATCACTCAGCCTTCTCCCCTAAACTCATGCAGGAATTAGATGCTTTTCTAGAAGTCTTCTGTTCCCCTTTAATAATCTGTTTGCCTGTTCTCTTTACTTTGAGTATGTTGAAAAGTAACTTTACTTTTAAGCATGTTGAAAAGGAGGATTTCTGCCCTAAAGGAGCACGGTGCTTGTAGCTCACTGTGGATATTCAATCTGAATTTGTGGGCTCAGTTTTGGGTCTTGCTCACAGTGATATTTGCAATACCATGGGTGTAGCCTCCGGAGTGAGAGAACAGCTCTGAAACGACAGTCCAAGAAACACAACGTTGGTTTCTTTTCAGAGACAGGAGATTAATGATGAAAAGTGTGTTGCAGCTCTCAGTGTTTATGTTAAAATTGGGAAAACAAGACCAGGTGGCTGGTGGGATGGTGAGCTCGGAGTAAAGTGGTTGTAAAGAATGAGGAGTGATAAAGATTTCAACATACAGTGGCCCATCCAAATCCAGCTGAGTCATCCCCCCACGTTGCTGCATCTGTTTTTGTCTGGTCACTGTATGGTTATGAATAATGGTGTAAATCATGTTGGGATGCCCTGGGGGGCTTCCCTTGCAGAAAGGCTCCGTGCACTGCTCCTGTCTGCCTTGGGTTTTAAGCTGTAGGGAGACCACAGGACAAGCCAAGCAACACAGATGTGTGTGGACACCAGCCAGGGCTGCCTGGGGTCCCTCGGACCGATGCCCTGATGGCTGATGTGGCAGCAGAGGTACTGTGGCACTGCCCACCCTACCTGGGTGGAAATAAAACCTATAAGGGAGACCTTGGAGCAGCTCCAGTGCCTAAAGGGGCTCCAGGAAACCCGGAGAGGGGCTTTGGACAAGGGCCTGTAGGGACAGGCCAAGGGGAATGGCTTTAACCTGCCCGAGGGGAGACTGAGCTGAGCTCTTAGGCAGAAGCTCTTCCCTGTGAGGGTGCTGAGGCGCTGGCACAGGGTGCCCAGAGAAGCTGTGGCTGCCCCATCCCTGGCAGTGCTCAAGGGCAGGTTGGACACAGGGGCTTGGAGCAAGCTGCTCTAGTGGAAGGGGTCCCTGCCTGTGGCAGGGGCTGGAGCTGGAGGAGCTTTGAGGTCCCTTCCAACCCAAACCAGGCTGGGGTTCTATGATTGTATGCAAACACAAAATAGCGTAGCTGAGCCACTGGAGCTTGTAGTCAGGAGCAAAGGAAGTTTCTTGCCGTAGCGGTTGGGGAGATGGGAGACGAATGCCCTACAGACACCTCAGAGATGCGTGCGCGCACTCGGACTCCCACACTTAGTGCTGTAGTTTACATCGGGTACATTGCAGCGTATTTTTGCCATTATGGTTTAGCAAAGAGTAGAAGATACAACTGTAAATTCTTATGGCTGGATGAACTGTGATTAAGTTAAAGTTATCTCTCTGTTACACACTACTTTAGTGATCACCAGACTATGTATTTTCCTGCCTCTTACCATAGGCTTTAAACCACAGGACATGAATAAACGGTAATGTTAGGGTACAGCCAGCTCTGCTTGCTATTTAAGGATGGGCAATCTATGTTCAGTCCACCAAACATCATTCCATAAAGCGTGCAGACCATGGGGGAGGTTGTATAATGGTCGATGTGCAGGACTGTGGCTGCTGCTGCAGCCAAAGTTGAGGCATCCAACAGCATTCCTGGGTCTGGAAGCACCACTGGAGCAGGGTGGGATTTGCACGACACACCAGGTCTCCTGCTAACGGTGCCAGTAGGTTTTGTGTCACAGGCTTCTCTTCTCCCAGAGCCAATTGAACCTCCCTGTGGTTGTCAGTAGCCAGGGAGCATGTGGCTAAGGATGGAGCCTTGTCCTGGAAAAGGAAGGAGCAACATGGCATGGAGATGGCACGTTCACTCCATCCCAAGTCGGGGCCCATGCGGCATTCCTCAGACAGTTCCTGTTTTATTGTTTTTACAAGGGGGAGAAATGAAGCTGCTAATTTATGGCATGCCAAGAAAAAAGTAGTAACACAAGAAATGCTCAGTAACTTTAATTCTGAAGAACACACAATTGAAAAATCCTGATTTTCCCTCACCACCCGCTGAGTTTATTAAAGCTGAAAATATCCCAAAGCTTAATTCTCTCTGCCAGAAAGTTGTTCTGCTGCTTTGGGTAAGGAATGAAAGTTGTGCTGCTGAGCTGCACAGTGGGGTCCCGGCTGGCTTGCTTCATGCCTTGGATACAGAGGAGTGAGCATCTTGCAGAGCATCCTGCAGAGGAGTGAGCATCCTGCTGCTGACCGGCTGTGGTCCCCTTCCGCCACGACAGGCTTGGTTTTAGAGCAGTGGTGCAATGGGGCAATGAGTTTGAGCTGGTGATGTGAACAGAGAAGAACTTCTTCCTTATATCTAACCTGAACTTCCCCTGTTTCAGTCTGAACCCATCACCCCTTGTCCTATCACTACAGTATCTAATGAAGAGTCCCTCTCCAGCATCCTTGTAGCCCCTTCAGACACTGGAAGCTGCTCTGAGGCCTCCCCGCAGTTTCTCTTCTCCAGACTGAACAGCCCCAATGTTCTCAGCCTGGCTCCATACAGGAGCTGCTCCAGCCCCTGCTCATCCTCGTGGCCCTCTGAGTTTTGGGGAGCTGAGCTGCGTTTTGCTCCCAACCACGGGTGCAGGACCCAGCGTGGTTGTCGCGCATGCCAAGGAGAAGTTTGCCACATTGTTTGCCACAGGCGGGGAACCCAGAGGGGTCTCACATCCAGCCATTTGGTTCTCATTACGTTATGCTCCTCTAATATAAACACTGAGGTATGTGGACATTGCTGTGGACAGGGCGAGCCAGATGCCGAAAGCATTCCTCTGAGGCTGTATAAACTTCAGCAGCTAAAGATTGGAGAAACTCTTTTCTAAGGCTAATAGTTTAAAAATATAACCTAGATTCCAGATATTAAAAAATGCCTTGAAAGGCATGGGTATTGCTGCGAGAGATGGAGCTCCCTAACCCCTGCACTATGCGGAAAGCTCCCAGTTTGCAATATCTGCTCTTCCTTATCCTTTTCATTATTTTAGGTTTTTTTCCATGCTGGGATTAAATTCGAGAAGGTTTTTAATAGCAGAGTGGTAGTGAAAGAAATTTTCAGCATATATTAACTGCCTGACTCACGCTTTTCCAAGTGGAGCTGGGTTTGTGGTGAAATAGCCGCCTGCCTTCAGAAGCGGTGAAATGGGAAGAGGCAGCGGGAAGAGGGAGCTGATGCCTTAAAACGTGCCTAATCCCTCTGTATGCTGTGAAGGGGCAGTGTGGGGGGCTCCCACCCGTGTTTCCTCTTGCCACTGTGTTTTGCCCCATCTGCCCTGTTTTTGGAGCTAGGTCCAGAGCTTTGGCAGCGCTGGTAGAGGTGCTCCAGCTCACACAGTGCTTGCAGAGCAGAAACCAAAAGGCAGAGTTATTCAATGTGTTTTTTCCTCCTCCTTTTGTTTCTTCCATTGTGGTTTTGTGTGCAACTTTGTGAATGAACCTGAGCTCATCAGTGCTTTGGCATATGGAGCACCATGGGGTCCTATCCCACTGTCCTGGCTCTGCTGGCCCCCTCTTGTCACCCAATCCCTGGGATGAAGCAGGAGGGGAGGTGGATGGAGGCTGTTGAATGACTGGCACCTCTTGTCTTCCAGCTGCTCAAAGGGATGGCTTTGCCCCGCCGAAAAGCTCCAGGTAAAACCCCAGAGAAGGAGGAGGAGGAGAGTGGAGACTGCGATGATGAAGATGACTGTGGCGGAGGCTCCGGGGATGGAGAGCTGCGCGTGAGGAACCAGCTCCGGTTCTTAGCAGGTGATGGGGATGGTGGTCCCACGCTGGCTGCCCCGATGCGGGCTGTAGGTCTTGGTGATGGTGCAGAGAGCTGCTCTCGGGGGTCTGCTCAGTGCACGCACCACCGATGCCATGGCCCAGAGGCTGTTGATGCTCAGTGTTGTGCTGGAGGACAAATGCTGCTGCTTTTCCTGGTTGGTTTTGCAGGGCTGTGTTTAGAGCACCCCATGGCAGAGGGTTTGAGACAGGTTACAAACCTGCCAACCATCTTCTCTCCTTCCCATGGCTGCCCTCCCTCATGGGCTTAGAGATGAGCGTTTCATCTTTCTGGAGGGCATCAGAAAGGTGTAAGGATTGTTTGACTGCAGCCATGGTTGTTTCATATCCAGGCTTTGGAAACCTGTGGTCATTTTTTACAGGTAACAAAGGCTCATTTGACAGATTTAGGTACTTGGCAGTGTTCAAGGGCAGGTTGGACACAGGGGCTTGGAGCAAGCTGCTCGAGTGGAAGGTGTCCCTGCCCGTGGCAGGGGTTGGAGCTGGAGGAGCTTTGAGGTCCCTTCCAACACAAGCCATTGTGTGGTTCTATTATTCTATGGCTACACCGTTAGTAAGGTAATCCCTGGTCACCCACCAGGAGGAGAAAGTGAAGGACCGGTTGTAACTTGAGCAGTCACACGTGCACTTGGTGTGTGCCTTCTCCCTGACCCACCAGCCGCTGTCACATACTCCTGGCTCTGGGAATCGCAGCAGCATCTTGCTCACATGAGCAAGCCTGGGCTGTCAGAGGCTGTGTCCATCATGGATGAGCGGGGTCTGCTGGACGTGGGTCTGCGGGGGGAGGCCTGGCCCAATTAATGCTGCTACACTGTGCTCTTCAAGAGACCAGACAACTGAACCTGGATAAAATCAGCTTTACAGCTTTGAAGTTTAAGAGGCAAATTTGGGCTCTTAAACGAAGCACAGATGTTTATAAATTCGCTTCCATTGGTCTGGGATAATTAAAATATCCTTAATGAAGTGAGAGGTGAAATATTAAATGCCAGTTTCATATCGAAGATTATTTACATATTATGTAAAGTATATCAAATACATATATTCAAATATTGGGTAAGGGAAAGAAAATACTTTTTAAGCCCTCCAATCCCAGTCTGAAACAGAAATATAGAATTCAGAGAAGGATAAAAGGTCCTTTATTTCATCCAAAAGCTAAATATCAAAGTGTATGCTAAAGAGATACAGGTGATCCCCAGCATCCTGAGCCGAGAGCAGAGATACGTGTTTCATTTTCCATGATCTCTGTGTCACACCTTTCTGCTGTTTTAAATGTGTTTCTGATTCCTCTTGCAGCCTTGTCTATAACACCCTCGGTGATCTCTGAAGCCGGGTCTCTAATCCCTTCTGCCTTTTTCTGTCTCCTGTAGCCTCATTTAATCACTGCATTGATCTCCCCACCAACCGGCCTGCCTAGCGATTTAGACCTCTCTTGTCACTGCAGTATGTGAGCATGTAGTAAGGAAAGAGGACTTGCTCTCCCTGCGCTGCTCTGCTGGCAGGGTGTTTACTATGGATGGGTAAATATTAACTTGAAAGCAGCAGCGCCTTTGGGGCGTTGTGTTCCTGTGCTCCCTTCAGGTTCCTGAGAGCAGGAGGTTGGTCCAGCACAGCTTTTAGGCTGCCTGGCCCCAGAGGACAAGAGCTGCACCATGGAGGCAACCAGGGAGACTTTGTGGTGCTTCCTCACTTGCCCATGCCCTCAGGCTCCGTTTTCACATCTTGCTTTAGAGCAGAAAGGCAAAGCTGATCTGACAGTGACAGAATCCTACTCGGTTGGTATTGGATATAAACTGTGAATCTGCTCAAGTTTTATGTTGGAAACCAGCCCAGGAAAAGTTGCTGATGGTGTGGAAACACTCACTTTGAACATTTTTGAGGATGAGGTCTCTTTTTACTTTAAAAGGGTAGTTTTCAATTAATTTTTTTTTCCCATCATATCATGTCGTAGCACGAAATAAAAGGGACCAGAAACCACTCCGCGGCTCCCCCCTCCCCTTCCCACATAGTCTAAATTTTAGGCTCGCATGCTGGTTTGAAAGGATGCCAGGCTGGGAAATCTGGAAAGAGTTTGCAAAATGAACTTTTACATTTAGTGTGGCTTTATCTCTCTCTTTCCCAAGGTAGTTACCCAGTAATAGAGGCAGCAAGGACTGGGAGTGGCTGGGATTGAGTGGCTGCTTCCCTGGGTTTATCCATACTGGATGCTCTGCGGTGTTAAGGCAGGAACATCGCTGGGTGGCTGTGTCATAGTGCAGCGGTGAAACCCCCAAGCCCCCTCTGAGCGTGTTTGAGTGCCTCAGCCAACCCTCAGAGGTTTGCAGTCGGGGAACACAGTTTGGGTGCTTTGCTTTCCTGTTCTTAGAGGCTTTGTTCAGCTTGGTCCTGTGGTGGGGAGGTGTCCCAAGGGTTTCCCAAGCCTTGCAGATGGACTTGGTGGTGCCCTGGCGAGGATGAGAGGTGTGTGCATTGAGGTGGCACTGAGTCTAGTTGGTGTTTGCCACCTCTGAGGTCTTTGCATCTCTTGGATGCAGTGGGCATTGCTCCTGCTCCCTGGTGTAGGCGCTAACTGCGAGCAGCTGCTCCTTCCTGGCCTCGCTGAGATGTCCCCTTCAAAGGTCTTGAAAACGTAGAGGTGAAAAAGAGCAAAAGAAAGGAAAAAGTCAGTCTTGAACACAGCCTAGTTTTGATTTATCGCCTGTGGTATAAAATGTAACCTTTGTTTCCTATTTCTACTGAGCCCCTAATAACTGGACAGTCAACTTAAACTTTAATGATTTAAACATGTAAACTGTCAAGTCCCAAGTTTGTGAGTGACTATAAACATATGGTGGTGAGCCCTATATGCTAATAAATTCATTATTACATTGCCCCAGTGGGGAACATGGAGATGGCAGGCTTTTTTTTCTGATAGGTCTTTTATTGTTTGTCACATCTGCAATACATTAAGGATTTTGAAGGCAGATAATATTTGTTATAAGAGGGGGGGATGGACTGCAAACCTCCCCGCTCAGAGAAGAGCACATCCTGTTTGTCAATGGAGCACCGGGACCCTGCAGCTCTAAAAATAGAGCTGTGTCCATCCATCCACACAGAGATATTTTTGCCATGCCATACCATGCCTGGGAAGAAATGAGAGCATTACCCCCCCCCCCCCAAATTATGAATCAGTGCAAATGTATTCCATGTTGGTTGTCCTGCATCAGGCACCCAAAGCAAAGAGCCATGGGTGGCTGGCACTTCCCTGCAACCTCAGCCAACCACCCATGAATTAGCTCAGCTCTGTTTTCCCTCAGATGCCACTTATAACCAATAAGCTTATTGCCAGGAAGGCTGAAAATGAAGCTGGTGAGGCTCCTGTGCTGGGTGGATGGCTCTAGCAGGCACTGGGGTGAGGAGATGCAGGCTTTTTGGGGGGTGGGTTGCAAAGGTGATGTGGTCCAGCTCACCTGTGAGGGGATGCTGTGCCCCTGGGCATCGCACAGACTTTGCCAGGAGGAAAAGGATCCTTTTTAGTGACTGGAGCATCACCCAGGGAATGTTGTGAGCAGTCAGCAACCATGGGGGAGTTGGGAGGACAAGGGGAAGATTTACCCTTCCAAAATATCTGTGTTAGGCAGTAACAAAAGTTGTCTTGGGAACAGCTGGATTTGGCAGAATTAAGTAGAAATAGCTTGTCCTGGGAAGGGAAGTTGGCCTCATCCCATGAGATATGTAAAGATAGATGTGTGCAATACATAAAGATGGCTCTGCAAGTTTGTGTGTGTAAAACAGCTCCCCTGCCTGGCTGTTGCTGCTGCATAACCTGCACTTGGCTTTGCCTTTCTGCTCGCCCTTGGTTATTTCTAAGGGAGAGAAGGAGTTTGTAGTTCGAGCCCCAGCGGCAGCCCCGGGTTTCCCTGCACCCTGCCCGTGTGATGGGTAGGCTGGGATTCTGTGCTGCCTCCCAGCAACCCAGCGATGCCCAGGTGATGCAGGAAAGTCAAGATGAGCACAGGGTGTCCCTCGGTGTGCCCAGATCTGTAACTCCTTAATAGCTTCTGGCTTGCTCTGCCACTGACTTATCCTCTTGGCAGGGGTTTTTGAGTGCCCTCACCAACTTGAAGGCTTGTGAGACCTCAGTTCTGGTGAGACCCCCCCTCTACTGTACTCGATTCAGGTCTGAAGCCTCCAGGAGGGACGTGGAGCTGTTGGAGCGAGTCCAGAGGAGGGCATGGGGATGCTGCGAGGGCTGGAGCAGCTCTGCTCTGGAGCCAGGCTGAGAGAGCTGGGCTGGGTCAGCCTGGACAAGAGAAGGCTCCTGAAGGGGAGACCTGAGAGCAGCTCCAGTGCCTGAAGGGGCTGCAGGAAACCTGGAGAGAGGCTTGGGACAAGGGATGGAGGGACAGGGATCGGGGTATGCTGGGGCTCACTCTGTGCATGTGCTGGAGGACAGACCAACAGCAGTTAAAGCATTTACAAGATTGTGTCTTCCCAGCCCTTATCGTGGTGATCACTTCTCTGCAGATAGCTTCAGGCTGTCTCCTGACAGTGCTCTGCTCCATGTAGTGCTGGTGTGGGGATGTTCCTCTGGCTGCTGAGAGAGATGCTCTCAAATACCTGCTTGACTTCCCAAGCACTCCTTCCACGGGTGGATAATGTCCTTCCCCGCATTCCCGGGTGGATTCGGCTGGCTCGAGGCCACGTGGCTGCGTGCCTTCCACTGCCCAGCCTGCAGGCTTGGCTTGTCCTGCTGGAAACCATCAATATCTATTGCGTGTGGCTCTGCTCAGCCTTCAGCAGCGGTGCCCTGTGCTTGGCTCCTGTGTCAGTTTGATGCAGCATCTTTCCATCGTTTTTTTTCCTGTTTTACTCAAAGCTTCGGGACTTTAACCTATCATTTTTGTAGCAGTGCCTTTTACATTTAACTCTTTTTGTTGTTTGTTTCCAAAGAGGGTGTTTGGAATGCTTGACTGAAGCAGGGATAG